AGAGCGAACCTCTGAAGGACCTGGCGCACCAAGTGTGACTGTGTGAGAGTGATGGTGTGCGCTACTCTGTCCCTGGAGATCTGCAAGCCAAAGTAGCGGCGCAACTCTCCTATGTCAGCGCAGGTGTGTCTCCTCAGCAGCTCAGCCTTCACGGAGGCCAGTGCATCTCTGTCTGTAGTAGCGAAGATCAGGTCGTCTACGTAGTCAAGGATGTAGAATGGAGTCTGGCCTGAATGAACGAAGAGCAAAGGGTCTGCAAATGACGGGAAGAACTGCAGGTCAGTTGACGTAGCACGCACCATGTCGTGCCACTCACAGGACGCCTAAGAAGCCACTGGGTCCCAGGGGCGAAGGTGCAGGTGAAGTCGGGCGGGCGGTGCATATAGACCTGCTCGTGCGGACTGCCCTTAAGAAACGCTGTAGAGAAGTTGAGGGAGTGCAGCTCGTAGTCACGCTGTGCTGTTACTTGTAGTAGTGCCCGAAGAGTAGTCATCTTCGAGGTCAAGGCAAAGGTCTGGAAGAAGTCAACACTCTCGCGTTGACTGAAGCCTCTAGCAACGTAGCGCGCCTTGAACACCGGCGACTCTCTTGGAGGGCGCTTCACCTTGCAGAGCCACCGGCGATCGACTACGTTCACCCCAGGTGGGGGAACTGCGCCGACGTAGGTGCCGGTGGATCTCCAAGATGCCATATCCATGTCCATGGCAGTTATCCATTGAGAGACTTAGGGTCCCGAGGTCGCGTCAGCGTAAGTGCGAGGGGTCGGGATGATAAGGGCGTCTGGGTCACCCTCAGGGACTAGCAGCATGGAACAGAGATGGGGAGTGGTTTCGGACAAGAAAGCTAGCTCGTAATGCCTGTCCTCTAGGACGTCACTGCCAAGGGGAGTTGCACCCCAGACGGACGGAGGACGGCCAGGGTCAGAGACTAGAGCTGTGGCGTAGTCAAGGCGGTGGGTAGAGGCAAAGTCAGCGACGGTAGTGACAAGAGCGTCAAGACTGGAGTCAGGGTTAGATGGGTCGGTAACAAGAGACGCGAGAACGTGAGGAACAAGCAGACTAGCGGCACGGAGGAAGTCAGAGAGAGGAGGAAGAGAGACAACAAGCAACGAATAAGGCGGCGACGGTAAAAGAGGAGCACGAGACAAGTGAGAGCGGAGCAACATAGAGTGAGAGCGCTGGACAGGAGAAACACGATACGCACGAGAGACACGGTGAGACCACCAACGGGAGGGGGGGTTCGGTCAGGAGACAAGGGAGGTGACACAGGAGGAGAACGAGGGGGGAAACGCGTCAGGGACGAGTCCAGCAGAGGAAACACATGGCCGTAGAAAGGCGGAGGAGGCGGCGGCGGGGGAGGCACAGGCAGGTAGGCAGGGGAGGGAAGGCCCAAGAAGCGAAGGGCGGACACCAGCGGCGGCTACTGCTGCTGCTCCACGCCGACGCCAGAACCTCAAGCTGCACCAGGGCTACCTCCCAGACGCTCCATGATAGCAACCCCAGAATGAGAATCCTCTCCAGCACTGGTGCCACCCCCAGGGCTAGCACCCCCAGAACGAGAACCCGCTCCAGCACCGGTGCATCCCAAAGACCGCAAGGACAAGCCAAGATAGTACCCCCATGACTAGCACCCTCCTCAACGCCCTCAACCCCAGAGCTCGCGGACCCCTGCGGTGGCTGCTGCTGCGGCGGCGACGACTACGGCTGCTGCTGCTGACGCGGCCTTCCGGTCTAGGGGAAACACTGTGGTGTAGGGCGTGTAGTCGTCAAGCACTAGAAAGTAGCGCATTCGACGCGGCCCAGAGATGGGGGTTGGGCCCCATACGTCTAGGTATAGGGTCTGAAATGGCACAACGCAGGCGGCCCTTGACGTAGTGCACGAACGTGAATAAGGCAGCCCCAGACGCGGAACGCAGACGCGTCATCAGGGACCCCGGTCCAGAGAACGGTCGGCGAAACCTGCGGCCGCTGGGAGTATGGTCACATGTGAAGCTGGTGAGCGGCGTAGCGAATAGCGAACGACCACAGAAACTGATGCTGCTGCTGCTGCTCCGGGGGATCAGCCCCGGTCCCCTCGTCGGTACCACCCGCACTCGCACCACCCCCACCACCATCGCCACCCCCACCACCCCTTCCTCCGCCACGCCCCCCCTTGGGGCGGCGGCCCTTACCCTAATGAGGCTGTGCTGAGGCCGTCGCGACGGCGGACTGAGCAGCAGAGGCTATCTCAGTGACAGCGGTAGAAACGTCAAAGTAAGTGCACTGGGAGGGAGCACAACCCTGGAAGATAGGGACCGCCACAGTATCGCTAGACTGAGCGATAGTGCGTTGGCGGGTCTCTATCGCAGACAAGGTGGTGACAACGGCAAGGGTGAGGTCACGTAGGTGCTGACAGTGGTCGCGGGCAGTGGCGAGGCGGTCAGAAAGGCACGTGGCAATGAGATAAAGGGTAGCGCAGAGGGGAGGAGTGAATGCAGCGAGCTAGGCCTCAGTGCTAGCAGCGCAGTAGCTAGTCTCAAGGGCGCATAGATGAGTGGCAAGATCAGCGATAATGGGGAAGGAGGCAAGATCAGGGAATATCATGGGCAGGATCAAATGGTCGGCAGAAGCAAAGGAGGGAGTGGAGTAGTACACAATGACTGCATCTAAGTACTCCTTCGCATTCGGTACAACCGCGAATGGGAGGAGCTCAGATAGGGGGAGGGCGTCACTGATAGCAAGCTGCGCTACGGCGTCGCGTGAATCCTAGACAGTGCGCGCAAGCTCTACGGCAGCAAAGGCCTCATGCTCAGCAGTGGTGGGGGCACCAGGGAGGGCAGCAGGCGCGTCGGGGCACGGGAGCTTACCGTCTACATGAACGGCCAGGGAATAGCCCTCCTGGCGTTGACTCGTCAGCTGATGGTGAAGGTCAACGAGCCATGCCTCAAAGTTGATCGCCCGACCCTACTAGTCCAGGCGGAGCACAGCGTCCGCCATCACCACGGTCGCAGCGGCGGACGGTGACACGGCGACACGGAGGCACGGCCACATGGCGACACAGTGGCACGGCGATACGGCCGCACGGCGACACGGCGACAATGCAGTACAGCGGCACAGCGGGACCGAGGGTCGGCGCGAACTGGGGCCGGGGAGCGAGGGGCCGACAAGCTAAGGGGCCGGCGAGTGAGGGGCCGGCTAGCGAGGGGCCGACGAGCAAGGGGCCAGCGAGCGAGGGGCCGGCTAGTGAGGGGCCGGCGAGCGAGGGGCCAGCAAGCGAGGGGCTGGCGAGCTAGGGGCCGGCAAACTAGGGGCTAGCGAGCTAGGGGCCGGCGAGCAAGAGGTAGGTGAGCTAAGGGCCGGCTAGCGAGGGGCCGGCGAGCTAGGAGGCCGCGGGAGCGAGGCGGACAAGCGCAGGGCCGACGAGCGCGGGGCCGACGAGCACGAGGCTGGCGAGCTAGGGGCCGGCGAGCGCGGGGCCGACGAGCGCGGGGCCGGCGAGCGAGGGGCCGGCGAGCGCGGGGCCGGCGAGCGCGGGGGCGGCGAGCTAGGGGCCGGCGAGCGCGGGGCTGGCGAGCGCGGGGCCGACGAGCGCGGGGCCAGCGAGTACGGGGCGGGCGAGCGCAGGGCCAACGAGCTAGGGGCCAGCGAGCGCAGGGCCAGCGGGCGCATGGCCAGCGAGCGAGGGGCTGACGAGCGCTGGGCCAGCGAGCTACCGCAGATAGGACGAGCTAACGTGGCTAGGGCAGGCTAGGGCGGCTAGAGCGGCTAGGGCGGGCGAGGTAGGCTAGGGCAGAAGCTGGTGGGCGGACCTAATATAGCTGATACCATCGCAGAGTAGCGGAATGCATGAAAAATATAGTGCAAGGTAGTTTTGTGCTAGATGTTGTACTTCTTAGATTAGCAGAATGATTAGAACAAGGTAGTACAGGGGAGGATATAAGGTTGGAGTTGTACCCTCTATGAACACAAACCTATCTAGCCTATAACATCTACATATAAACAGATGTATAAGTTGACAGTACTCTCTATCGGCATCCACTTAGCTAGCCTATAAACATACAAATATATGTTGACGGCCCGAGCACCCAAGGTCGCCAAAGCACCCAAGATGTCCGAGTGAAAATTACAGCTCCAAGTTTGAATCCCACTCCATCCGCCAAGCCCCCTCCCCCCGTTTGGAAGGATCATCTGTGCTTCACATCATTTGGGCTTTCCGCGAGCCAAGAGCGCAGCGAAGAGGACTCGGCTCAGGGCGTGGGACAATGGGTCACTTTCGGAACCTTGGGAGGTACCGCATCCTACCACGTATTCAACTACCGATATCGTTACCGCAATAAAACCTTCTCCAAAACATCCAATGAGCCGGACCAGGGCAAAACGTGTCGAGAGACCCGCTGGGGTTACCCTTGAGAAGATCCTTGGGGAAGGGCCACAGGTGCAGAGCCTGGGGGGCTATGGGCGCACTGACCCGCGATTGACAAGCCCTTTTAACGCAGTGGTTAGTGGCTGAATCCTGACATGCTATCAGAGCGTTGGTTACTCGGATTCAATTCCCAGTGCTAGCGCTGTAGAGGCGCTCGTGCCCTCCGCCTATCCCAGCGAGGGAGGGTGTCGAGAGACCTGCTGGGGTTACCCTTGAGAAGTTCCTCGGGGAAGGGCCACAGGTGCAGAGCCTGGGGGGCTATGGGTACACTGACCCGATATTAACGAGCCCTTTTAACTCAGTGATTAGTGGCTGAGTTTTGACAAAACGGACCCGATGTCCCACGCCCTCATATCAGAGCGCACGGGTGATTGACCATTCGGAATTTCGTAGAACCAGCTTTCGCACCGCACGTGTTCCTGGCGTGTGCTGGTGCACCGGCTACACTCTCGCGTCACGGCTACCGACAGCAACGTAAGAGGTTTTCTCCTACCAGGATTCGGTATCGATATAATATTTGCATAGAGGTGTTTTATGCAATGTAGAAGAATATTGCATCGTTTCTAATGGATGTATAATTGCATGTTTTGAAATCATGCTTCGACAGGGGTAAAGCCATGAAGGCTCCGATTGTATCTGAGGTTTGGGATGGTACTCTATCCTAAAAGCTGATAAAAGGTATGACATAGTCATGGATAAACCATCCCCTTATGTACGATGGATAAACAAATTTCTCATTGATCCACTATTGACCCTATTCTGACACCCTCCCCTACTCCCGCTGCCCCTCCCTCAATAACCACAGCCGCTGAAGCATCATCTCATTCCACGAATCCGGCACTCCGGGCAGGCAATAGTGTCCGCAGTCTTGCTTTCCACTGGGCAGCAGCGCCCACTTGCCCGGATGCCCATCGCTTCTAACCATGGCTGGCCGAGCCTGATCCAGCAGCATCACACGCGCCCCTCCCACTCTCCCTTCAGCCCTCTCCTGCCCATGCATCCTCACTACAAGCCTCCTCATCACCCCATTAAGACCATCCATCTTCAGGCAGTTTCCTTTACCCTTATAATTCAGGAATCCAGAGGCGCTCATCGGAACGGTATCGGGACATTCCCCTGTAAAGCCCTCTCCCGTGAAGTGAGCAGCTGCATTAGTAGACACAACCAGCACCTTGCCCTGCATTCTTTCGCTCTTAAAGACGCCGAGGGTCATCTCCCACGCCTTCTCAAACCCCTCTACCACAGATAGTCCCTGGTGCGGTGGCGCAAAGCGGAAGCCCAAGCCTTGGAGCTTATTTTCGTTCCACCAACGACCTGCAGACACGTGGAAGCAAACACGACACAGGAGCACGTTTCGCAGGTCAGTGTAACATTCAGCTCAACGATCAAAATCACATCGATATGAACCACAGGTGCCTGTAAATGTGCCAGCAGTGACAAACATCACGCTTACATGGGAATTGTCTCACCTGTGTTACATGGCCAGAAGCCATGTCTACAAGGGAGGTGTCTCACCTGTGTTTATAACGAATATATCATGCTGCTGCAGTCGCCGCCGCCAGATCAATTCCGGCTTGTTCAAGTCCATCACGCCGCCGCCATTGGGCTTGTGGGGGTCGTCCAGCGTCATATCCACCAGGAAGTTGGTCCGGTAGAACGCCAGGGTGAAATTACACGCCGCCCACACAGCCCCTCGCTCGAACCCGTTCGCCATGCTGAATCCACCCAGCTTTTCCGGCATTCCGTAGAATCCATACATGAGGCACGCCAGCGACTCGAACGTGTTGCGGGTCATCGAGTCGCCGACAAAGGCGATGTTTTTCCCCGCGACGAGGCTGCAGAGGGTGTCTCTATTCAGCGTGGGGAGCGGGCAGCCGGGCGTTGTCCATCGGAGTCGTTCGAAAAAGCGGTCCGGCCGGCCGTTCTTGACACAGTTCTGATTCGGGTAGATGAAAGGACACGTGGCGTCGTACAGCGGCCACGTGCCATCCACCTGCCACGAGCCGCGGTCCATAGAGCAGCTCGTGCGCTCCTCGGGATTGCCGCTGCGATGTGACGCCTGCTGCTGCTGCCGTTGTAACACCTGCTGTTTTGCGGCAGGCGAAACGTCGGTTACCAGCTCCGCATCGAGCGGAAGGAGGCTGTTTCCCTCCAGAGGTGAGTCACCCTCCGCCGAGGCGCCTGAGAGCAAGATCCCATCACCTGCGGCAGGGTCAATGGCGGCATTTTCAACGGCGTTTCCGGCTGCGCCGCCGACGGCCATCATGCCATCGTCAACGTAGAGCGCGGCACGACCCACGGCGTTGCCAACGCCGAGGGGGAGTGGCGACTGCTGACTCAACTGCGGCTCGACCCTCTCGACCAATTGCGTGATGCCAGCTAGGCGGCGCCTGCTAGCAACACCCTGGAGGTGACTCGCCGAGGGGCCGGAGAGAGCGGTAATACGGTCTACAAGCCGACTCCTTATAAGGGAGTCAAGAGAGGAGACGAGAGAGAACAGTGGGGATGACGCGTTGGTGATTGTAACGAACGGAAAGGGGAGCGCTAGTAGCACTACTAGCAGCTGTGCCGTTGCTAGTGGAGCACTAGGACGAAAGTAAACATTGGGAGCCATGGAATCCGAGTCGGTCAACGATAAAGACTCGGACTGCGATACGCCTCAGATAACAGCCCCCACCGACCACACGGTGATCAGCTCTATTCGTCGGAAGTAAGCGAGGTGACTGTAGGGAAATATGCTCTCCGCGAGTGTGGGGAAACTTTTGCCTCCCCCCCTCTTCTGGCGGAAGGGGTGGCATCAAAACCCCCCCCGCACGGAGGTATCCGCGTGGGTGAAAGCCGCGCACCAGGCGTGACAGCAAGGCGCGTGGCCCTCGTCTGAATGATCCATAGCTGGAGGAACCAACGCGACAACGATGCATCTGAATTTGCCCCTGTAAGCCGCATGATGCTCTGCTCGGCCTGCAGACTGCTACTGCAAGCGGTTCCATGCTCATGCATGTACTGAAGGTGTGTATCCTAAGGTTGCGCATCTGTGGGTTGCGCTTCCAGTTGCGCAATCCACGAATCCTGACCCCGTAACGCAACTGGAACACGGGATTGCACAACTCAGCGCAAGCCCCAAACGCACCTGGAACATTGGGTTGCGGAAGCTTCAAATTTCGAGATTTAAAACATTGGGCGAAATCGGAAACAGGTTTACGTTTCGTCCAGTTCGCTAATGCGAAAATTGCGGGACATGTCTCGCCTTGGCGATGGGCCTGTTTGGCGAAATGTTGGGTTCGTGGGACGTTGGGCGAAACGTTCCTCGGACATAGGGCTGGATTTCTCGACCAAATGGTTGTCCGTTTGATTCGCGCAGACGTGCGTTTCGGATTGGGTTGCGGAAGTGGGTTTCGGAACCGGGCTGGACGTGAGTTGCACACACGTCCAGCTTTCGCAAAAATGCTTTCGCGACATTCACGAAATCTGCTACCATACCGGGTTGCATAACCCGAAACGGAACCGCAACCGTAGTCTCCACGCCCTGAAAGCTGGACTGTAATCGGGAGACTCAGCCTGCTTTGAACCAGCATATTTCTGCACAGCTACTTTACTGTAGCTAACGCGGAACACATGCTTATCGATGATAATCAGTGCTCGGCGACCTATCAGCGAGTTTTGCTCGCCAGGGGTGGCACGGAGGTCTGGCCAATGAGAAGCATCTCTTCAGGAATTCCAAGCACATGCTGGCCTGAACTGTACACCGGGTGCGCACCGTTTAACCTCGATTTCGACGAACTGCATGGGCTTAATGCGCGCACTTTTTTCGCCAGTCTTCGCCACGGGAGTCTTCGTGTCGCAGGTGCCACAAAACCAGGGTGCCACAAAACCTGTGCGCACGGAATGCGCACACTTTTTTCGCCAGTCTTCGCGCACAGTCGCCGCCGTGTCGCAGGTGCCACAAAACCCAGGTGAATGGGCCATCAAGCGAAAGGGCCATTGCCCGTGATTGGTGGAGGATAGGCGAAGGTTGAGGGGTGGGCCTGGTGAATTTTCCGGGACTCCCTGGACACCTGGTGTATGATCCTGGTTGATGGGTGAGGGATTATCGAGGGCTGGAAACCTGGAGCATGTTCCCTCGTGAACGTTTGAGAATTGAACCGTCGGATCATAGTCTGTAAGCGAGTTTGATCCGTCCGATCACAGGCCTGAGGTCGGTGAGTTTAGAAACCCGCAGCAGGTGTACCTCTTCACCGAATGACCCGCTTTTGAGAAAATTCTGAAGGATTTGGTTCACGTGTATGGAGATTCTAAAAAATGCATGTGTAATCAAGCATAGGATACAATTCTGAAAATACATGCATTGGGCCTATGCACATATGTAACGAAATTTACTAGTCAGCAATTACTCAAGATATTTCACTATTTACCAATCATCCTTTCGTGTTGTTGGAAACAAAGAATTGGAGACCCGTTTCTGTAGTATCGAGACTTGAGCGATACTGTTGAGTGGTCAACAGGCCCTCAGATTCGTTTTAGGCCACGTTGAATTTTCAAGGTAGGTACACAAAGGCACCCTGAACACCCGTGAAAATCAGGGTTGGTACTGTTTTTTCAACTATTAAGCCCCGTCTTTTCAGATTCCAATGCTGATTTTTCAGGGTCGGTACAGAAAAACATTTAAAAAATCAGTAAAATCAGGAAAAGGTATCAGAATAATTGAATAATGGTAAAGTGAGTGTACACACAAATATATCTAAGTTTTGTATCCTCTAAGAAGTGACTCTATACAGTCTATACAAACATGACAAATACACATGTTTGACACACCCCCTAGACTGCATAGGGGAATACCCTAAACAAGCAGCTTAGGGCGGCACTACTAGTCCAACCTCTGAGGCAAGGGTCTGAGCGACCGGTCAGAAGGAGTACAGACAAGGCAAGCACAAGAGCACGGCGGCACTACTAGTCCAGCCACTGGGAGAGGACACAAGTCCAGTCTGAGTATACATATAAAGGACAGTACAAAGTCAAGGTCCTAGCAAGTGAGAGGCTACAGGAACTAGACCAAGCTGTACACAGTGCCGCTGATGATCTTTAGGCGCAAGCGCCTTCGTAAAGATATCAGCCGTGTTGGCACCTGAGGCCAAGTGTACTACGCGAGCCTGACGTCGCTGCTGTAGCTCACGCAGGAGGAAGTACCGCAGCTGAATGTGCTTCGCTCTGCCCTCGAGTCGAGGCTCCTGACACAGGAGGATCATGGCCCTGTTGTCAGCGAACAGGACCGGGGCAGAGCTAGGCCGCTCACCTAAGTCAGTGAGCAAGAAGGTCAGCCAGCGGAGCTCCTGTGCCGCCATGGCACTAGCGTAGATCTCAGCCTCACAGCTGGACTGTGCAACAGACGAGGAGCGAGTAGCTCTCCACGAGACGGCACCTGAGCCAAGGCTGAAGCAGTAGCCCTGGGTAGACCGGAGTGTCTCAGCGTCGTCTGCCCACGAAGCGTCTGTGTGCCCAGTAAGGACCGCTGGCCTGCGTCCTCCTAGCACTAACCCCATGCCCGATGTACTAGCAAGATAACGCAGAACCCTCTTAGCGGCAGACCAATGCTGCGGTCGGTGTCTGCCTGTGGCCACAAAGCGAGCCAGGATGCTGAGAGGGTATGCGAGATCTGGGCGAGTGCAAGTCATCAGGTACATGAGGCAACCCACCAGCTCTGCGTAGGGGCCGCTGGGCTCTACCAACTCCTCAGGCACTGGAGCGGAGAGCCTGTGGTCTACAGGCAGAGGGGTGGGCTGTGCAGAGGAGAACTGAAGGCTGAACCTCTGAAGGACCTGGCGCACCAAGTGTGACTGAGTCAGGGTGATGGTGCGCGCAGCTCTGTCCCTGGAGATCTGCAAGCCAAGGTAACGGCGCAGTTCTCCAAGGTCAGTGCAGGTGTGTCTCTTCAGCAGCTCTGCCTTCACGGAGGCCAGCGCGTCCCTGTCTGCTGTGGCAAAGACCAGGTCGTCGACGTAAACGAGGATGTAGAAAGGAGTCTGGCCAGCACGAACGAAGAGTGAAGGGTCTGCAGAAGACGGAAAGAACTGCAGGTCAGCAAGCGTAGCACGCAGAGTGTCGTGCCACTCACGGGGAGCCTGGCGCAGGCCGTAGACGGGGCGCCGCAGGAGCCACTGGGTCCCAGGAGGGAAGGTGCCAGTAAAGCCCGGAGGGCGGCGCAGGTAGACCTGCTCGTGTAGGCTGCCCTGAAGGAAGGCAGTGGAGAAGTCGAGGGAGTGAAGCTCGTAGTCACGCTGAGCAGCTAGGTGTAACAGAACCCGAAGAGTAGTCATCTTCGGGGTCGGAGCGAAAGTCTGGAAGAAGTCCACCCCCTCGCGCTGACTGAAGCCTCTAGCCACATAGCGCGCCTTGAAGACAGGCGGCTCTCCAGGAGGGCGCTTCACCTTGAAGAGCCAGCGGCCATCGACTACGTTCACCCCAGGTGGGGGAACTGCGTCGACGAAGGTGCCGGTGGATCTCCAAGATGCCATCTCCTTCTCCATGGCAGCTATCCACTGCGAGGCCCAGGGTCCCGAAGTCGCCTCAGCGTAAGTGCGAGGGGTCGGGATGTCGAAAGCGTCTGGGTCACCCTCAGGGACTAGCAGCATGGAACAGAGATGGGGAGCAGCCTCGGAGAGGAAAGCAAGCTCGAACTGGCGGTCCTCCAGGACGGCACTGCCAAGGGCAGGAGCACCCCCGACAGACGGAGGACAGGCAGGGTCAGAGACCAGAGCGGTGGCGTAGTCAAGGCGGCGGGTAGAGGCGAAGGCAGCGACAGCAGCGACAAGAGCGTCAAGGCACGAGACTGGAACAGACGGGTCGGTAACGAGAGAGGCAAGGACCCGAGGAACGAGAGGACGAGCGGCACGAAGGTAGTCGGACAGCGGGGGGGGCGCAACAACAAGGGAGGACGGAGGAGGCGACGGCAGAAGGGGAGGACGAGACGCGTGTGAACGAAGCAACATAGGGTGGGAGCGCAGGACAGGCGAGGCAGGACGAGCACGGAAGGGACGGTGAGACCAGACGTGCGATGGAGGAGTCGGGTCAGGAGACAGGGGAGGGGACACAGGAGGGGAACGAGGGGGGAGACGGGCCGGGGACGAGTCCGGCGGAGGGAAAACAGGGCCGTAGACAGGAAGAGGAGGAGACGGTCGGGGAGGAACCGACGCCGGGTCGGGGGACGGAAGGCCGAGCAGGCGAAGGGCGGACACCGGCGGGGACTGCTACTGCGGCGGATCAACGGCGACACCTGGACCGCAAGCTGCTCCTCGGCTACCACCGGCACTCTCCACACCCGCACCCCCAGAGGGACCACCCTCAGGGCGACCGGGACGAGCACCCCCAGAGTCAGCGAACGGGGGCTGCGACTGCGGCGGCGGCGGCGGCGGCGGCGACGGCGACGGCTGCAGTGGCGGCAGGGACGGCGGAGGAGGGGACTGGGGAGGGGACACCTGGGGAGGGGCGGCCGGCGAGGACTGCACCGGAGGGCCACCAGAGTCAGAAGACTCCTCAACCGGGTCCACGGACGGAAGGGGGGTGACGTGGGAGACACCAGAGGGGGCGGGACGGGGAGGAGGAGGAGGAGGGGCAGGGACTACCGGGGAAGGGGTGACCAGGAACAGGGGGGGGGTAACCGGGGGACCACGGTGGGGGAAGCGGCGGTAGTAGGAGACGGACTCGTCAAAGGTGACGTCACGAGAGTGAAAGAAGCGGTGAGACGGCGGGTGGTAAAAGTGCCAGTCGGACGCGTCAAGGGGAAAACCGAGGAAGACGCAGGGAAGGGTGCGGGCAGTGAGCTTGTCCGTGCCGGAGGCACGGACGTGAGCAAGG